TCACGAATTAACGACTTATATCTCACGAGCCCCTAGCCTTAAATGCAGCAAGTTAATCGGAGCAGTAAATAATATAGAGATTTTTGAACGTTAAGAAAAACTGACAACAGAATACCACAGCAGAGCACGCTAGCAAGGCGGGTTGTACAGGTGTGTCGTTTCTCGTCACATTCAAACAAGCAATGCGGTCAAAGGAAATGGGACTAAATTGTCAAAGGTAAATTAGTCAGGTACCTCACCACAGAGTCAAGAAGACCGGAGACGAGAGAGGCCGCAGGTGGATGGCTCGGACGGATCCTCACCTTGGCTATCCACCACACCCCCTGGTCCACACAACAAATAACCAGGATTTTAATCAACACAACAGAGTTTGGAGGCTGGCACGAACGAAGCCGCACCTATGCGTGCCGCCAACGCCTGGCTCGGATCCCACACTGTGGTGGGAGTGCCATAAAGCCCACATTAAAAAGGAGCCATTGCAGCCTGACTCTCAGGCCACCACCAGTCAATGAGGAGGTCCAAATTATCCCGAGTGGGGACGCCAATCAGCAGCCTTCCTATCCACGACACTTGACGTGTCGGGATACTCTCAAACTCAAGTCACCCGTGCAGCCGAAGTCGCATGGGGACCGAGTCGAGATGCACACTTCCCACTTGCGTGGAAGGTGGCAGTTGGGTGCATGTGGTGAGTGAGTTTTGATGTGAGGTGGGGTGGTGATGCTAGTGGAGGAGGCACGGCAGGAGGATGTTTTGGTGTGGTGTAGCCGGCGGTTGTCTACCGCAGGTCGTCTTGGATGCGCATGTGGCCGAATAGGCCCATGCGATGTCTGAAAGTGCGAGGACAGTGTGGGCAGTTGAGACGAGCTTGGTGGGTATAGGTTGGTGCTTCAGGCACTGGTTCACCAGTCTCTGTGCGATGGATTCGCAAGTGACCGGCCAGGCCCATGTGTGAGGTGAGGGTGCGGTCGCAGTGAGGGCAGGTGTAGTCCTGGTCCTCACCTCTGGAGTCGAAGGCAGTGGGTGTGGTGTCGGTTGTTGCGTGCGTGACAGTCGCCTGAGCGGCCGTCGTTGGAGCAGTGGAGGAGGAGGAGGAGGAGGAGGAGGAGGAGGGAAGTCGTGGTTCAGAAGAATTGTCAGAGTTAGTTGGCGAAGAAGAGGCGGACGGGGGGACGATGGTTGGTGCAGTTCGAGAAGCGCAGTTGATCCGAGGATGTCCAACAAGTCCGATTCGAGCCCGAAATGTCCGTTGGCATCAAGGACACGTTGGAGACGGTTGTGCGTCGGCGTTGCATACTGGGCGCAGTTGTGACTTGCGGGCTTCGCGTTTCACTTGGGGGGCAACGATGCGGTTGGCTGCGTAGATCGCAGCGCCCGTTTTCACTGTACTCCGCCAGGTCGGTCTGTCGAATGTGAGCGCTTCCCGGTTGGTCGGGTTGATTTGCATACGTTTCAGGGAGGACTTCAGAGTATCCTTATATCGGCGAATTTGACCTCCTTGCAGGCAAGAACCCGTTGCGACGTCTCCGTAGAAGAGTCGTTTGGGTAGTAGCTCGTCGTCCATGCTCACCAGGTGGCCGCTCCAACGCAGCTGTATTTGTCTCCGTATGGCGTAGATGCTGAGGATTCCCGTTCGCACCAGCACATCAGTGTCGGGAATTCGATCCTGCCAGTTCAGCCTCAGGATGTGACGAAGACAACTGAGGTGAAAGTGGTTCAGTCGGCGTGCCTGCTTTGTGTACAATGTCCAAGTCTCCGCTCCGTACAGCAGCGTCGGCAGGATGACGGCCTTGTACATCTTTAGCTTTGTGCTCAGTTGAAGTCCGTGACGATTCCAAACTGTGCTTTGGAGGCGACCGAAGGCTTGACTGGCTTTCGAGATCCTGTTGGAGACTTCTTCATCGATCTTGGTGTTGCGGGAGAGGGTACTGCCCAGGTACGGGAAGTTCTCCACCACTTGCATTTGGGTTCCGTTCACGCTGATTTGCAGCGCGTTGGGGTGAGTGGCGGTGTTCGGTGGCGGTTGGTGCATCACCATCGTCTTTTGCGTGTTGATAACCGGCCCAAAGTTCTTGCAGGCGGCGGAGAATAGGTCCATGCTGCGTTTCATCTCCTCTTCCGAGGTGGTGTTCAGGGCGCGGTCGTCGACGAAGAGAAGTTTATGAACAGTGGTTGTGGATACACGCGATCGGAAGTTCATCCACCGTTGATTCAGCAGGTGACCGTCCGTCCTGTAGGCGATGCCGATCCCGGGGTTTTCATCACGGTAGGCGTCCATCAGCATGGCAGAGAACATAAGACTGAAGAGGGTAGGCGCCAGAACGCATCCCTGCTTCACTCCGTTGGTCACTGCGAGTGCCTCTGAGACAGCTCCGTTGTCCGTGACTCGCGCCATCATACCGTCGTGCAGCTGATGAACCATCTGAGTAAATCTCTCTGGACAGCCGAACTTCTGCATGATCTTCCACAGTCCTTCACGATTCACCGTGTCGAAGGCTTTCGTCAGGTCATCGAAGGTAGAGTACAAGTTGGTCCGCATCTCCTGTCACTTCTCCTGAAGTTGACGGGCGGCGAAGATCATATCCGTGGTCCCGCGATGACGACGGAAGCCGCATTGGCTTTCCGGCAGAAGGCCCTGTTCCAGATGGTTATTGAGGCGGTTGAGAAGGATGCGGGCCAAGATCTTCCCGGTGATGCTCAGAAAGGAGATGCCGCGGTGAATGTCGCAGACTTGGCGGTTCCCTTTTCGCTTGTATAGGTGCACGATTGTTGCGTCTTGAAATCTTGCGGGACTTCACCTTGACGCCAAATCTCCTGGAGGAGCGCAGTCAGGTGATCCATCAGTTGGGGACCTCCGTGCTTGTAGACCTCAGCAGGGATTGCGTCCGATTCGGGAGCTTTCCCGCTGGAGAGCTGCTGCACGACCCTGATGGTTTCCTGGAGAGATGGCGGGAGGTCGAGGTCCACGTTGGTCTCCACTTGCGGCAAACGCTCGATGGCGGCGTCGGAGATGAAGGAGGGGCGGTTTAGGACGCCTCGGAAATGCTCGGCCCGTCGCTGTAGGATTTGCGTCTTCTCAGTCAGGAGAGTGCTGCCGTCGGCGCTGAGGAGAGAAGCAGTGCCCTTCGTCGGCGGACCGTAGACAACTTTGATCGCGGAAAAGAAGTTCTTCCATTCGTTGCGGTCCGCGTACCCTTGGATCTCCTCAGCTTTGTGAGCAGTCCAGGCGTCCTGCATCTCGCGCAGTCGTTGCTGAAGCTGGCGGCGACTGCGGTAGAAAGCAGCTCTGTTGTCCTCGGTGGGGTGATTTACGTAGGCTCTGTGTAGGCGGTTCTTCTCAGCTAGCAGATTTCTCATGGCGGCGTCGTTGTCGTCGAACCAGTCCTAGTTTTGGCGGGGTGCGCGACCGAGGACGGTGAGCGCCGTCGCCTGGACCGTGTCTCACAGTTGGCACCAGTGGTTCTCCACGGAGGCGTTCTCGGCAGCGACGGCGTCGTCAGCGGCAGCGATTTGAAGGTTGTCTAGTCGTTGAGCTAGTTCATTGCTGAAATGAAGACGGTGAGCGGGCAAAGACAACAAGGCAATATTCAGCTTACCTGGGGGTCGCTTACCTTGTGGTCTCATGTGAGGCTGTATGTAAATACGCATCTTCGAGATGACGAGGCGATGGTCGGTCCACCCGTCAGCACCCGCGATCGCCTTCATCACCAGCACGTCCCGCTGATCTCGCCTCCGGACGAGGACATAGTCCAGCAGGTGACACTGACGCAACCGAGAATGCCTCCAAGTGGCCTTCTCTCGCTCCGGCAGACAGAAGAACATGTTCGTCAGGATGAGGCGGTGTTCTGCACAGGTGCGGAGAAGCAGCAGGCCGTTGTAGTTGGAGCCGCGGAGACCGTGGGGACCCAGCACTCCTCTCCAGGCTGTATGGTCTGTGCTGACGCGGGCGTTGAAGTCACCAAGGACAATCAACTTGTCCGCCTTCGACACAGTCGCCAAGAGGACGTGCAGGTCCTCGTAGAATTTGTCTCTTGCGGCGGCGGCGTCGGTGCTGCTCATCGGCGGAGCGTAGGCGCTTATGATGGTGGCGAATTTCCCCCCACCCCGGAGAGGCAGATGAGGGCTCATCAGGCGATCGTTGATGCCCTGCGACAAACAGGGCAGTCGTCCCACGATGTCGTTCCGAATGACGAAGGCGACGCCCGCGTCTCGTCGCTCTGCCCTGAGCCGACCACTCCAGAAGAAGGTGTCGCCGGCACCCACCTCCTCCAGTTGGCCTTGTTCGGAGAATTGGGTCTCGCTGAGTGCGGCGATGTCCACCTTGTAGCGTGCCAGTTCTCGTGCCACTAGCGCCGTCCTCCGCTCCGGTCGGTTGCTCCTCGGATTGTCTAAAATGGAACGAACATTTCAGGCTGCCAGAGTGAGCGGACTCACCCTGCCAGTCTGGTGACAACGAGTGGGGCGACGGGAAGGAGAGGAATAGGCAGAAGATAGGCAGAGGAAGAGGAAGGAGAGGTAGGATGAGGAAGTGAGCGAGTATTGTTGTTGTTGTTGTTTCGATTTTGATTGTTTCGACCATGTTTAGACGTCTGCGGCCCTGGCTAGCCTGTAGAAGGCGTGGTGCCCAGCAATGTTTAGGCCACCTTTTCTAGGCCCTTCCCCTCGTGAGGGCAGGCAGTGCCACCCCTGAATAGGGCTGCCATGTGCGGTTGTGGCACGGCCGAACTCCACTATGGGGCCGCGACCTCTTGTTGTAGTGGAGAGCGACTCGGATTCGCCGTAAGCCGTGTTCTCCCACGGCGTAGGTGGGCGCGTCAAGGCAATGTCGATGTGAAGATCCATCCCGTCACCGGCTGTCCAGCGGCGTGCAGAGACGGACAACGTCATGGCGTTGCCGACGCAAGGTTCCATTCGACCTTCCATCCGGCGGAGTCCGCAAAACCTGTGCACACGGCACAGCGCACAGGGCCCCCTCACCTGGTTTAGCCCACCGGTCGAGACGGTTGCCCGGGGTGTGGTCGCTGAGCAGAGCCCAGCTACGCGAAGCCACATGTGAGCGTTGAGTGCCAGCAAGTGGACGCTAGGCGTAGTCTCACCTGCAAGCAAGTGAGCGACCACCACGACCATCACGTGAACCCACCGCTGACACTCCTACACCCCACGACACACACACACAGGCTTTCATATTTTGCAGTTAGTTGCTTACGCGGTGATGGTGTTGTCCGCGTGCCTGCCTCAACGGTCGATGTGTCCACATTGACAATGAGAGCCGAGCAGGTGAGGTCAGTGATA